CGCCTGCGGCCGACCGTAAGAGCTGTGCCGCAGTTTGGTGTGGCTGGGCCGCCTGCGGCCGACCGTAAGAGCTGTGCCGCAGTTTGGTGTGGCTGGGCCGCGTACAGCCAATTGTGACAGGAGATGGAACAGTGGCCCCTTTAATTTCCCTCCCATTAGATTAAAGTCTTGGAAATAATCATCACTGCTCTGGATTATTTTCACCCCAAAATTGGACGGACTCTTGCTTTGATCACGCTGCTTTTATCTGCGTTGATTTCAGTGTGCCATTAAGAGATCCCTTCATGCCGTGCTGAGCTCTTAAGGATGCTTAGCTTTTGGGGGGGGGTATTTATTTTTAAAGGCAAGACTCTCAGGCAAAAGAAAATCATAAAAAAACAAAACTAGCTGCACTGAAGAAAGTCAGGTTCAAGCTCTGGTCTTTGATCTTTGGAACATTAAAGAGTTTGGTGGAGGATCAGCTCCGAAACTGGAAAGGAAAGAGACAGATTGTGTTTGCTTAAACATTTTTATGGTGGTGTATGTTGAAGAGGACACAAAGTGGAAACAGTGTGTTTCCCTGTGGTGAAGTATCATTTTTGCAGGAACATACAGAATGAATGAGATTGTTTACAGTTAAAATTCATATTACTTTGTTACAGTCAGATGTATAATGTTACCCTTCTGAACTATTGCTCAAATATGGAGAAAATGTCCCACATTTCAGTGTATTCTACAAGAGACCGGGAACTGCAGCTCCCCCCCAGCCAGAATTTCATCATTAAAGCAGAAACACATACACCTCCCATCAATTCATTTATATTTGCTCATTTACCTCACAGTCTTTTGTGTGCACTATGTATATTATCTTTGTACGTGTACTTGTTTTATCTATGCACTTGTACTTGATATGTGATTGCATCTGTTCACTTTACATACCTTGCTGCTGTATGCAACAGAATTTCCCTCTTGGGTCAATGAATTATATCTCATTATCTTATCTTAATTTCTAGGTTTACCTAGAAATGGCATGAGCATATGTGCCACATGAAGTCTTGCTCTTTATGCCAAAATGTCCTTTAAATCGAGTTAATTAAGCATGCAGGGCTTTATGGGATGGAAAGCCAATTTACTGTAGTATTATCAGGGTCCCGCAGGACATTTTTAATAAGGGCAGATGAATTCCTTTGGGCTGCTTTTTAACAGGCAGACATTGATCAGACTCTCAGTATATTTTGCCTGTTGAGGTATTGAGCAGAAGTCCTGGTAGCTGACACTCTGACAGGCCTAATAAAGCAGGACATGCTGTTCACCCCTCATCCTGTACAGCCCGTGAAAATCAGGGTGAAAGCACCCTGAGACTGCCACTAGCGTCTCACTCAACACTCCTACATGCACTCCTGGGCCCGCATTCACAAAGCATTTTATCTGACCACTAACAGTACCCCTGAATTGCACTAAAAGTTTTTAACTAAGAGTTTTTTTCCTAAAATCTATTCACAAGGTTGCTGAGAGCAACCTTTAGTTAGAAAGGAACTAACTTTTAGTTAGAAGCCGACTCCTAAGCTAAGATAAGACTCCATCGCTATGGCTGACGTTGGTTCTCATGCACGAGCTTGTCTGCAATCACCCCAAGGACTGGTTGATGAGTGTACGAAATGTATGAACTGCGCAACATCGCATAAACATGAATACAGTGGAAACCACTTATAGTGAATAACTGCTTACATGAATCAAAAAGTTTGGGACAGAATCATTCCTCTACAAATACTGTTTAAATAATTCACTTATTGTAATCAAGTCGTCTGCTTACAGTGTTCTGCTCTTTTTAAATATGACAGCATATGGAAAAATTTAAACTAACGTTGTTTTTTACTTTACTTTGATTGCCCTACTTTGCCTTGCAGTAACCTGTCTGCTTCTGGCTAGCTACCTGAGGCTAATGATGGATGCACAGAAAACGTGACGGAAAAAGAAAGGCACTTTCTCTCAATTACGAATATAGACTCATCAAAGTTCAAGATAAATTGCCAAAACCAAGCCATATTTTATATGCAGTACTGTATTATAGCATATTTGAATTATACACCATTCAGTAATTTAATTTGTACAGTACTGTAATTTGAAAAGCATCTGAAACAGCTTCACCTTATATTCATGTAATAAATATACACTTGTCAGGTGGTAATCTGTCTGAGACAGAAAGAAAAGAAAAACATCAGTCAAAATGATCATCCACGTATAGTGATCAGTTTCATCAAGACAGATGTGATCACTATAAGCAGTTTCCACTGTATATGACTGGGTTGTTTTGGTTTGTTGGAGATGTTACTGCATCCCTCACAAGCTCCACAACAATGCCTATTCCCTCCCGACTGAGGCGGTATCCTTTAAGTAATTCAACGTTCGTTTAATGTTTCTAAGACCTTGTCACGTGGATTGACAGCAGCCATTTTGCGACTTTGTGAGTTAGTCTCAGTCACTTAGGAGTCTCGATCACTCTTTAGTTCTCCCAGATTTAGGTTCCACTTTTAGTGCTAAGGGACTTTGTGAATTGGTCTTAGTCAAAAAACTTAGGAGTCCTACATGTAGGACTGACACGCCCATTAATTTTAGGACTTTCTCCTAATTTGGAAAGTTAGGAGCTACTTTTAGCCTTAAGATGCTTTGTGAATACAGGCCCTGTTTCCTAACGCTATATTACTACTGTTACGTTTTCCGGACTTGCTAGAAGATGTTATCAGAGGTGGATAGTTCAGGTCCAGAAGGTAATAATCCAGACCAAGATTTAGTTTCAACCAACCAGGGTGGCTTTTCCCGAAAGCTTCGTAATGCTAAGTAGTTCATTATCTAGTACCTAAGATTGATTGTTAATTAGCACGCATTTCCGAAACCCTTTGTAAGTAAAGTAGTTTGTTATCTCGTTTATAGGTTTACGAGAGCTCGTTATTTTCTGCGTTGTTCTTTATTTGAACTTTTGCCTGCTGTCCTGTCACAGGGACACAGATCAACCGAAATAGATGTCAAAAACACATTGATGATCTTTATTGGACAACATAATAATGCTGATGGTATAAGAAGAGGTTAGTATTGCAATATAAAACTATAACGTCGACTATAAATTGGAGCAAAAGAGGCCTGCTGTTATAACACCTGCATGCCAGTTTAGTACATAACAGGCTTGTGCACCACTCAGAACTGACTTGAGAATGACCTTGAAAATAAAATTCAATTCATAAATCAGGTGAAAACACGGTGCTAAACTGCAGTTCGACTTTGAATATAAGGAAGTAGAATTAAAATGGAATTCATTTCACATTAATTCATATACATAGTGAAAGTGCAGCTTTGACAATACAGCTTAATGTTTCAGTATGAACTACCAGCATGTTAACATAAACAGCACACAGTGAATCCCACCCTAACCCCACCACGCGATCAGGAATATTTACGGCAGCAAAAATGAATACCACACCCGAAGTGTCACCTGTAGAATAAATAATTTAACTGTCATTTTGTGTACCATGGTGAAAGAGCACTTCATACAATCACAACAGTAACCCTGTCACAACCCTATCCATCTGACACGTCACAGGAAAAGCTACTTCATGCAGACTCCTCACAGATGGTAACACACATAAACAGTTAAATGTGCAAAAACAGTAAATATATGCACAAGGAAAAGGACTTAGAGGGATGACATAAACCAAATGCATATTGGTAGAATAGGCTAAAACAATTACACAATTATTATCTTACAATCATACAAAGTTCACTCACTAGTACATATGTAAGGTTAATATACATCTGCCATGTTGGAAGTAAATCTGTTTTGTAATTATGTTTTGCTAGATTAAATGACATTGATGTGTTGTATGACTGCACTGAATGGAAATGACTTAAATTCTCTTACTGTCATTTCAACACCTTACAGGGTGTGAAGCTACGTAATGAGCTGACCAATCAAACTTTATATTTGCTCAGTCACATCTTTTGAATTGGGAAGGTGAATCAAACCTTAAAACCAGCAATGGCAGAGAATTATGCAAATTAACAGAAGACAGAGCTTCCACTGCGCCGTCCAGGAAGCCAAGTTGCTTTTGCTGTTGATCATGATCCCTTTGCTCTATCTCAGTAATGAACTATTCATTGAGAAATACAGGCAGGTCTGGGGTGAAATAATGAGCCTCCTTGGTCCTGCTGCAGCTGCAGGATAAACTGGAGCAGCAGCACTTTGCCCTCAGTGCACCATGCAGCTTCCCACAGCTCTGCTTCTTCGCCACAGGTGGATCCTTGCAGACCATAGGTGATGCACAAGGCCTCATCAAGGCTGCTGTGTCCTGCGACTGTGCATTGATCACATTTCTGCTGCACCGTGCACCCAACTACATACAGTACAGTGTCCAGCAGGAGGGGATGCCTTGCATGACACTAACATTGGTTTTCGTGCCATTGCAGGCACACCTGGCATTGTAGGTGCAGTGGATGGAACCCTAAACTCTATTCGTATTTGCAGCTCCATGAATCCCACTTGCACCTGTCAATAAGGGTTCTTGGCACTAGGCCTAAATGTCCAGGTGACATGCAACCATCAAGGACATTTTACAGACACATGATGGTTATATTTGGTGTGTTTGCTGGTGGCTGGTTATTGGGAGACAGAGGGCATCCTCTTAGCGAATAGCTGCCGCCTCTAGTGCTGAATCCCCAGACCGTGGCTGAGGAGACGCCCAACACCACAGGGCAAAGACACACCCTGCTGTAGAGGGGACTCTGGGCATGTGAAAGATGTCATTCTGGTGCCTCACTCTCAGAAAAAAGGGTAAACATTTGTACCTTTGCTTGTCAATGGGGCTGCATCCCCAAGGGTCTGCCAATTGTACCCTTAGCTGTACATAATTCTAGCTTTTAAGGTACAGAAATGTAGTAATTATTTTATTAAAATATATATATATTTATATATTTTATCGATTTTCTAATTACTTTATGTTTTTTTAAATCTGCATATGTCTGGTGTAACAATTATGTAACATAATTTCACCACTGAAATACATGGAATCGACGTTCCTGTTATCAACAGTCTGTGCTTTTTAAGTATTACTTAAAATTTGTTTGTTAATTCTGAAATAACGATGGGTTTTGGGAAACGCACATAGGCCTCACTTGTTCTTTACCTACGTTGTTCTTTATCTTGTTCGTTATTCACTAAGATCGGGAAAAGCCACCCTGGTTGGTTGAAACATAATCTTGGCCTGGATTATTACCTTCTGGACCTGAACTATCCACCTCTGAATGTAATGTTGTCTTACACTTATTACTGTTTGTTACATATTTGCCAGTTACAGATGTGAGTATATTTAGATTTAGTCCTAGGAGAAAAAGCAATTTCCTAAAAGTTTAGAGTTTCCTCTTTTGTAATCGTCTGACTTCTCCACATGGACACCTGCGCTCTTCTGAGGAAAGCTGACTGTGAGTGGTGAGCTTTACTCACTGCTGCATCCTGACTTGTGTTGTACTCTCTGGTTCTAAGCACTCTGCGTATTTGAAGTCCCTGTTCACTTCCTAATGCAGCAGAGAGCAATTTAGCAGCTTGACTTTGGCAGTATCTCTCATCTGCTGAGGATGGAGCCTGACATCACTTGTTCTCCCCTGCCACCCACAGGATCTCCGACGCAGACCCTGAGGTCGCTGTCCCCGGTCCCCATACGCACATCTCCGCAGAAGGTTTGCTCAGTTCCTGCGCTGTCTTCCCCCTACATTTCTCACAGAGGATCAGGGTCACCTGAAGACCTGGCTGGGCTCCTCAAACCATCTGTCCATCCATTCCCTGTAACTGCTTGTCCTATTCAGGGCCGTGGGGGGTCCAGAGCCTATCCCAGAGGATATGGGTGCAAGGCAGGGAACGACCTTGGATTGGGCACACACACACACAGGTCACTCACACACGCACACCTACGGGCAGTTTGATAACTCCAATTAACCTCAGCCTGTTTTGGGACTGCGAGGGGAAACCTGACACAGGGAGAACATGCAAACTCCACACACAGAACCCTGGTCCGGTAGGTGTGAGGTGACAGTGCTAACCAGCCCCACCCCCCCTAAACCAAAGCTACCATTACCCATGCTCACGCCCCCCCCTAATATCTGGGCACCTGAAAGCCCAGCCCCCCCCGAACCCTAACCCCCCCTGAGGTGCCCTCCCATCCACCCCTAGCTTCTGTACAGGTGATGGGTACCCCAGGGTTCTTGCTTTGGAGAGCCTCTGGGCCTTCACCCCCACCCCCCACCACAGCTGAGCCCAGCCTCAGTGAGTTCCACTGCCTCACGTCGTACCTCTAAGTGGCAGCACCTGTGCATGAATGGGCGCATATGTCTGTCACTTAGCCTCAGCGCATCACAGGCATGGGCGGCAGTGCATGAAAAATGCAATTCTGTTACAATACAGAGTGAACTGCGGGGCTGTAACTTTGTATATATTCATGAAAAACACCTTCTGCATGGGTTATTTTATTACGAAAAACACATACAAAACATCACCGCACACAGCCTAAACACAAAATTAAAATAATACAGAAGATTTGAAAGTATTTGAAATGTATCAGAATTAATTAATTTGAAATGTTCATGGTACAAACAAGGTGATGTGTCTGTAATTTGGTGCTAAGGATTCTGGCATGTGAAGAGGCTGTGAAGAGCACTTAAGGGTTTGTGGAGATCGGGAACGTTTTACCCCTTCTGAACTCCTTCGGATCCAATCCTGCTCTGATCTCATACAGTGGAGTCCCCCTGTCCCCCTGGGATTTCTCTGACAGTCGGTTCCCCTGTCCAGCACCACAGAGTTCCATTAATCCTGCCGTTCTGTCGATTCCCCTGGTATTTCTCGGACAGTCGGGTTCCCCTATCCAGCATCGCAGAGTCCCGTTAATCCTGCCATTCTGTCCATTCCTCCAGAATTTCACGGACAGTCGGTTCCCCTGTCCAGCGCCGCAAAGTCCCATTAATCCTAATTCCACCCTTCGGTTGATTCCCCCAGACTTTTTTTCCCCACGGTGCACATCGATTTCTGACGCTGGTTCCTTCCTGTCATGTAATGCCACAAATTAGCCTTCTATTCCACAACACACCAGAGGGCACGCTAAAGCTTTTTAACTGTTCTGTAAAAGACTAAACTGATTAAACTGGCAGCGTGAGTTTAAGTATAAATACTTCGGCAAACAGCTCTTAGCTGAGTGGTATTTGGTTTAAGCTAGCTTCCTGACGTTAGCCCGAGTTCACAGAGAGGATAGGAGGGCCTATTTGTGCTAACGTGTGTATGGGTCCATCAAGGGTGGCTTCCCAGAAGCCTGCCTTGGGTAAGCAGCAGAGACCATGGTTGGGCATGCTTCCTGGCAGATGGCTAATGGCCTCGCTCCAAGGCCTCGCCTGTGTGCCGTGAAGCACACACGGCTAACTGAGTGTGCTCAGCTTGATGGGCCACGGTCAGGCGCAGGGTGGTCACCCACATGGTTGTTGCAAAGATGGGGAGGAAATTAATGATTCCTGGAGCAGACCTGTGTTCTACATCGGTGTTTCCCATGTGTCTGCGTTTGACATTGGAGAGCGTCCACCTCATAACTGCAAATACGGGGCCTCGACCCTGTGATGTGGTGGGTGTCTGTATTCTGTTGCATGAGGGACTGACTATAACAAGGATCCTCAGTGGACTCACACAATTCCCATACCCCCCCTGGGGCTGGATCTAAGCATTGGCAGAAGGTGCCTGATCGGCACTAGGCGGCCCAGTCAAAGCTACTGAAATGTATTGGACCCCCCTGCCCCACATACACACACAAATTTATTTCTGGTTGCAAGCCAGAATCACCATATACCCCCTCCCCCCCAACGAGAATTTTTTGGCTTTGTGTCGCTGATTTGGACCTTGGGGGAAAATGATAGAGAGAGCCAGTGATAGAGCCATTATAAATGCCTGTTGAAAATGGAAAAAAGCATTAAGCCTGAATGTAACACATGGGGACAGATGGAAAGGTTGGAAACAGCTGGATTACATTCTGGGTCGGCACTGAGCGTCTGATATGGACCAAAAGGTGTATAGGCTTTATATAATTTTCAACCTACATAAGGACCACAGATAAAAATGATATTTTAAGACAACTCATACTAATTTACAATTAAGTGATAATGGATGTATTGATTAATGTGCTTCTTCTTTACATAAATATGGCAACAATGAAATGTCACCTCATCCACCAACGGGCACCTCTAACTGGCTATAATTGGACATTTGCTGATTCATGCATTCATTCAGTCAACATGATCAAATTTAGCACAACACAAATATTATCACAATGGAGATATTGACTCTTAATTCCTCACCCTTGATTTATACCATCTAATTTGAGCCTCTGCTGTATTTTTAGGCTCCAGGATGAAATATTGGGTAATAAAACCTAAGTGAGGCCTGGCCACATTTACTTTGCTCTCTCTTGCTCCCTCCTGGGCTTCTCAGTGTCTAATTACGGTCCCTCCGCTGACTCCATCTACAGAGCTCTGTGCCCCCCTTCACGCCATCGCCGACTGAGTGCCAGTCGGGGGGGCTGGTGTCCAATTCACCGGCGCTGTCTGGCAGCTACAGCAGTGGCATCTCTTCGCTGAGCCGCTGCAGCATGTCGGAAGCGTCGGGCCTGGAGGCCCCGCCCCCCGGAGAGCTGGCCCCGCCCAGCATGCTCACTGCCTCCGCGTCAGGAGGCTCCGATGAGCTCCTGCGGCGTGACAGCAAGACACCGCCACCGTACAGCGTTTATGAGCGCACCAACCCTCGGCGCCTGGTGCCTCTCCCCCACGGCCTGTCCGTCCTGCCCGGAGTGGATCCTCCCGCCCTCCCGCCCAAGCCCTGCCAGATCCGGGCCACCAAGCTGGACTTGGATCCCCGAAGGGCTGAGCAGGCGCCTCGGCCCAGACCGCTGCCCAGGAAGGTGTCGCAGCTATAGCGCCTTCTGCTGGTGCCACCGGCTTATTTTGCACTTAGGTTGTGTTTTTTTGGTAATGCCAAGATTACAAATGAAATATGAAAACAGATTTTTAAATAGTTGTGATTATTTTTTATTATTATTTCTTTGGTGACATTCAGTCCAATTCAACCTTCAGTACCTTTAGGACTCAAGCCCAAATATGAAACTTAGGGGAAAAAAATTGTTGAAATTGCATACATTAAATTAAGAAATATTTTTGATAGATGTATAGATAAAATACATGTATATACTGATTAAAAGATAACTTTGTTTTGCCTTAAATGTAATATCTCTCACCTTGCTGTTGTTGAGGGCCTGTAGAAAAATCTTTACTTTTATTTTCACAACGAAGTGCTGGATGGCTCTGGCTTGTTTTTTTTTCAGAATAGCTGAATATCTACCCATCCGTTTGCCGGAAGATTATATGTGCCATATGAAAGACCGATGGGATTTTCCGAGTAATGTACCAAAGGAATATAGAAACTCTTTTATATAACTGGAAGATTAGAAACTAGAAAACTGACACTGCTTCAGGTAGCAGTGAACTTCTGTTTGCGTCGATTTTGCGAAATCAAGGCTGATTTTCTGGCTGCATGAGGCCTGTGTAGAACAGTATTGTCCAGTAGTAGGATTCCTTATATATGTACTAAGGTAGAAAGCACATGACTCAGAAAGCCTTGCCAGCCGATAGCAGAGTAATCATCTCACGGCCAGTGGGGGCATTAGCAAATGTGGGGTGTGAGAAGGTACCGATGGAATTGAAATTGTTCCTTTTTTGTGCTAAGGTCCTAGACTGGCAAAGCACTTGCACGAGGGGATCTATTCCAACAACAACAAAATTAATATATTCCACTGGCAAAGGGTTTGTCAACCTTGTCCGCAGCGAGATGTCAAGCTACGTGTTTGTATAGCCGAATATTTTTCGGGCAGTTTTTCTAAATTGTTTGGCATGGAGGCAGTGCCACTGACAGGGTGTGCAGTAAGCTGTCCCTTTTATAGTATTCAGAGGCTCACGGGCAAAACACAGGTGGCTGGGAAGTGTTTTAGGAAAACATTGTTTTGTAAAATGTTTGTGGGAAATATCGATTGTCTCTTTGAGTGGTTTTTGACTATTCAACCACAGTATTCATTGTAACTTTAACATTTTTGTATTTTTTTGTGAATTTGGGATTAAATATATTTACATGAATCGCTACTTGTGAAAATGTAAATTACATTGATGAGACTGTTGTAAGTATGCCAAATAGCTTGTTGAATACCACTATTGTACATATGTGTTTTTAACAAGATGTAGCTATATGAATTTACAGCTTTGAATGTTCCAAGAAGAATTATAATTATAAATGTTTAATATCCATGTTTAGTGACTGTAGAGAGAGTACATTGATTCATAACTCAATCAAATAACCTGTTGAATAAAACACACTTGGAAGACAGTTTTGCATAAGACTGACATAGTGGTATATTTTGTGTAAGAAAACACTGTCAGTCCCTTACCGAAGTTATGACATTTTATTGCTCACTCTGTGATTTAACTGCACTTTATTCATATTGTGGAGAATGTGCTAGTTTTCTTTGTTTAGCATTTGGACTGATCTCAAAGGATTCCCTTTGACCCTAACATGGCGCATTTAGTTAGTGACAGAGGAATAAAGTACAGTATTTGTGTGTTTTGTTTTCATGTTCTTGATGCAACATGCCTTTAAACAAATACATCGGGCATACATTATCAGCACAAAAATAAAATCCTTGAACTTAATGCAACTGTATGTCACTGCGTTTGACATCAAACTTGATGATGGATGTAGTGTTACAAACTTTGCCTCACCGACATCTAGCCCATATAGCTTGGACTTATATTTTACCATTTGCAGAGCTACATATTTCCGAGAGATTTCGTGCCATGTTCAAACATCCAGATTCAGCCACCATGCATCTGAACACTCGTCATCCATTTTAGCTCATGTCCCAGTAATAAAGTAAGACAAATTCGGGGCTTTAAAGGTGATGTAACCTTGACATAAAAATGTTAAGTACTGAATTGTCCTGACTGCTGACACCTTGCCACTATATTTTCCAGGGCATGCCTCAGTATAGGTACATCTATAAGTATAAATCCACGACTGTTTTGGTCGATATATTTTTTATAACCGGTAGGCTACCTGGTCACCTTGGTCCCGAGCAGCCGTTTTTATTCAGCATAAATTACGCTTTGTCTGCACATTTACTGCCAGCTCCCCGATGCGATGTTCTTTGTCTGTGTAACGGCGATGCATGAGCAAAGCGTTTATAATGATTTCTCCCTTGTGCTGCCGGGCTTTTACGCGGATGGCCGCCGATTGCCTTGGAATGGGATGATTTCGTCTACAATAAACTCTCGGGGAGTGCATCCCACTTTCACTCAGCCCACTAAATATCCTCCACCTTCCTTAATCGTTTTAACCTAGATGTAAATAGTTGGTGTTCTAATCAAAAGCGACAGTTTTCCTGCTTTGCGGATGAGCTTGCGGCGTAGTCATGTAAATGTTTTTAGCACCGTTAAAACCCTCCTCTTTCACACCTGTAAGCTCGGTTTTCGTACTTGATTATTGAGAATTTTTCAAGGAAATGACTTTGGGATGAGGAGCGCTGCTAGACTCGACTTCTCGCGCAGCGTAAGCAGGGAGCATGACGCGGCACAACTTTCAACAGCACCGATACACTTGGGAAAAATAATATACATATGTAGGTTTAAGGAGCTACAGTTGGAAAAGAAACGCCAAATGGTTTATTGTACTACGTGTAATAGTTAATTTAGGTTAATATTACTAAAGTTAGAAGACACTAAAATTAAAGACAGTTTAACATTGGTCGGCGAGGGCGAAGCGGGCCACAGATTGGACACGCTTGTGGAACATACGGGGCGCTTTAGGACCCAGCGGGCATCCAGTGTGAAGCTCATCCCGGGAAGCGTGCGAGCGCGTACGGCGCACTGCTGGTAAGTGAAACGACCTCCCAGTAAGGACTGGCCGCGATGGAGCGCTTGCGGTGTTCTATAAACCGAACGACGACATGACGGCCCCTTTTACCGGGCCGTGAACACATGAGACAGTGATGTCTATGTCCTGTCCACTTAGCTGCGGTCTGTACATGTGGACACTGAGCGGAAAGTCCGGAGACCCGCTGCGCCGTAGCTAGTGTTTTATAGTTCAGTTATATATTGTTTTCAGTTGTATTGGTTTCGATTTCGAAACCGCGTGTATTTATGTGTGTTCGGTGAGTTGTGTCCTTGATTTGTAGGCCGAAACATTCAAAGCAGCCAGCACCTACACTGTGGTTAGTCAGGTTTCGCAGCTATAACAATGTCACAATGTGGTCTTTAAAGTGCTTGAACAAGTATAATGGTGTGAGTCATTTATTTATCCAAGGTGATTTTATCTTCACAATTATAGTTTAAACTGGGGCTCCAATAAATAATGATCTCTCAAACAGTTTGTTTACTGCCATATTTTAATTTTAACTTCAGTTAGATGTATGACAGGCGTCTTACAGTTTCACAACGTACATTTTTTAACAGCCTTATTTTAAAGAGAACTGTTTAAAGTGCTTTTCACCCGTTTAAATTCGGCTTCAGTGAAAACCCCGCCCCGGCACGGTCACGTGCCTGTTGGGTTGCCCTGTTTTCTGATTGGCTGTATGGCTGCCATGTGCTCTCATGTCCGCAGTTCAAGCTTCCGTGTTAAATGCTGCCGGAGGCAAGTGGTGCGTATTTATTAATGTCCTTTTCGTGCCCTGCCTGCGTTTCGACTAATGGTATAGCACCATTACCCAGATTTGGAATGAATTAAAAATGTTAGCCATGCGAAGTAGCCTCCAGTAAATGAAAGGTCCCACCTTTCCTTTCTCATAAACATTTGCTTGGCTGTCATAGTTTAGCATATTCATGACTTCTTCGCAAAATATTGATCCGTTAATTAATATGATTTTTTATTTTTTTTATTTGAATTTTCAGTGTCAGAGAAAATAGAATTTAGTTGCTGGCACTTGTCTCAGATATCCAGTTTTATGGATAATACCATCAGAATTCAAAGGCTTTCAAAATTATAACTTAAGTACTCAAAATTATTCATCTTTCAAGCACTTAAGGCTTTTTTAACGAATGGAATATTAATGCACTTGTAGCCTTCAAAATTATTTCAGCGTTGTTTTAAATCTGTTATTTGTGGGAATGATTAATAGCTTTTAAAATAAAATGTATAGTTTCTTTCTGCGGATCAATAACGTACAGTGTCATCTCTGTCATATCAAAATTAACCTAAAATTAAGCTAAGTGAGTTGGCCTCTATAAATCGCTGTAGTATGTGAATCTGTCCCTTACAATTGAGTGCTTTCTCATCCAGGTTGTTCACTGCCTCAGGCCTTAGGCTGGACAGATTCACCATAATCCTGCACTGGAGAAACCATGATGGCTGTATGCGTGTGTGAATGGGGCTATATGCACGTCACTTAGACACATGCATCTGTCTGTATTGGACGCTGCATCCTCGGTGCGTGGTTCTTCCGGAATGGATCACACTGGAATGTGGCTATTAAATGCTGTTTCTGAACCAGATCCTCATACCTATTTGTGTTTTCATTAGTGATGCACCGATATGGAAATTTCAGATTTTGACACCAATATCGATTGTTTTGGTGGTTCTACTTAAGTTTAAAGATAAATAAATAAATAACATTACAAATATATGAAAGTTTTTTTTGATAAGAAAACAACTCTGGCATATAACAGTCCCAGAGCACTGTATTTTATAACCAGGGATGCATGTACACTACCAGTCAAAAGTTTCTGCACACAGATTTTCTACATTTGCTTGTTACTCGCTTAACATTTACTAAAAAATACTCAATATTCTTTGCTAACAAATAAATTTACAGCATGTTCACAGTTCGAGTTTATTTGCAAGAAAATGTCATATCTTTGATTAATCAGAGTAACCTCCTCTAGCAGTTATAACAGCAGAGAAAATTCGAGGCATTCTTTCTACAAGGGACATTAAATACTGCCCAGTTTCAAGGGGTCAAGCAGTTAAGTATTGCATTTACAGCTAAAGGACAACCTAGAATCTGACTGCCATCACCAGAATTAATAGCATGTCAAACATGCACTGTTACACACTCTTTCCGCGTTATGAAGGAAATTAGTTTTATTTGGCTTAATTTTCATTTATAGTTGTTCACTCAACTTTCCAGTGCTAACAGGAATAAAAAACCTGAAGTTTATGAAACAAACTGAAAAGTGGTGAATACCTGTGGTGTGCAAAAACTGCTAGTGTAACTGGTACATAACTATGTATTAAGCTATAAAAGCGATAGGTGCCTCAATCGATTGTTATAATGACGCAAATGAGTACGTATTTTATGTGGATTTGTGTTGTTGTAACTAGAAATTGCCATGCATTTTAACCTCTATAGTGCAAATGAAGTACGAATTAGCATATAAAGATTAAAATGCACGGTAATTTCTTGTCATATCACTGCAAATGCACATAAAATAATTATGATAAGGTGAATGCGTACTTGCGTACCGATTATGTGCCTCCCTTTTTATAACTGTATACATTTTATATATTTATAACAGAGAGGGTCTGGTCATCAAATGTGATAAACTCCGTAATTTAGATTTAGTCTGCAGTTTATTCAATTTGTTCTGAATTATCAATTGAATCAATTTTAAGGGAATTTTAAGCAAAAATGGAGCACTGAACTAAAGAAACAATGAATTAAATTATATTGTGATAATTATCAGTACATTTGGTGTGAAAAAAAAATGTCATATCACATTGCCCTAGTCGATAATGTCCAGATAAGCTGTAAATTAATCAAAAGTGTTCCCACTAGAGTTAACTAGTTTCAACTTTCAAATACTCATAAGTTATCAGTGATATTCAAACTGGTTAAAATGCAGGTAGTTCTGCACGTTAGTAGTTTTGCCACAATGCCAGTACTGTGCAGAGTAACATAATCCAAATGGCTGAATGTCACTGTCGAAAACATGAAAGCTCTACATCTCTCCACATGGCGCTCTCATCTTCTCATCCTTCTGCTATACCTGGTCATTTCAATAGGGAACAGCAGAGGAGGTCTTCTTTCATAATTTAAAAAAGAAAAATGTGTGTCCTCTGGTTGTAGTTTAGTAATTTGTTTATTTATTTGTTTGACTTCCCCAGCTTATGGAGATTCTCTGAACATGTTTCTTAGCTGCATCTGGGTAGTTATGAAGTTGGAAACTTTTCTTAAAAAGAAATACAGGAACTTGGAGGTAGTTGAGCTATGCAAAAGCTGTACATTTGCCATTACTGGTTAGGTTTGTAAAAATCTGCTCTGTAAGGTATACTGCAGCTGCTAAATGTCTGAGATTGGAACCCTGCTCAATTCCTTTCCCCCGTCCTGCCACTTCTGCGTGGCCTCCAGCAGAGGGCACTGCTGAGGTCAAGCATAGGTTAATTGGCTGCTTACCAATGTCTCGTACTCTGAAATTGGTGATATACCCAGAAGGGTATGTCATATTTCCACTCAGGGTATGAACATCAGGGTTATGAATGAAATGCAGATGAGGGCTGTTATGTTGGCCATCAATGGGATTTAAATAACATAGTCATTTGTGCTAGCGGTAGGCTAATCATGGAGTCAACCCCGCAATCTCAAAAGGATTTTCTCTGAGATGTTCTAACCTGATATTATTTTGGCAGCAGCCTTTTCCCTGAATACCCAAGTTCATTAAAATCTGGGCTCAATCAATAAGACCGCGACCTATGTTGACACCGAGGCGACGCTTAGAGCTTCCATTAACAAACTAAACGAGGAATTTGCTAGCCTACATTTACTGCTTTGCGTCAAGGTGCAGTGTGGACACGACCTGTCTGACCTTGCTTAGCCCAAGAATGCAGAGCTTCCTGTGAAGACGAGTACGTGTGTGACCATTATGGCAGCCGAGTGAATTAGCCCTGCAACTGAATCCGGTTGAACTATATTGCCGTGATAAAGAAGGGAATCGGTGTCGTGTCTTTTAGATGAAAGCTCATCTCTAGGGAAGTCTAACAGATTAACGCTGAATATTGCATTGAATTAGAACATCGAAGGGCAAAACATTATTATTAATTTAAATCAAACGAGAGGCAGATTCATCGGCTTTACTCTCTACAGTCCCTTTATTTTTCTTTTTAGCCAGTGCAATAGTTTAAACCAGATGGAAACAAAGTTTGACTCGTTTGATCATTTCTTTTTTATACTGGCGGCTGAAGTCTTTGTTCACTATAAATCCAATATTGTCAATTTATGTCAGAATTGATTTCAGGTCTTTCTCTCTCTGTATCTCTTCTTCATGGAAAAATGACCTCTCTCTTGTATTTAGTTATGGATCTGTTTGTAGTTCATGATTAAAAGGTGCCGTTACTTCCAGCTGACACGTGAGGGGAAGATGTCCGCCAGTTACACACACTGGGGCGTACACAGACAGTCTGAGGTCTGTTGTTACTGAAGACTCCCCTGCTTCAAACCGTTGCCTTGTTGGCCTTCCATCAGCCTTCCTAGGGCTGGGGGGGCAATGTGCTCCGTTCTCTGACGCGTAAGGTGTACTCTCTGTTGTACTCTCTGTTCTCTGACGCGTAAGGTGTACTTTCTGTTGTACTCTCCGTTCTCTGATGCGTAAGGTGTACTCTTGTTTTCCTGCCTGCTGACCTTCTTGACTGCTAATTGGCATAGACAAGCAGGTGATGTAGTGGTTAGGAAAAAGATGCTGTTTCTGAACCAGATTGAATTTGTGATTTTAAATATTTTGTACATTGTTAAATAAATTTTTAGCAAACGCACAAAACCTTAGGGCTGCACAATGGATTGTAAAAAAAGCACAATCCTTTATTTATCTTATTTCAAAATGACAATGGTTCTTCTGCGTTGTATTAAATCAGCAGGATAAAAACAAGTGGTCCTGCTTTTCTCCAG